AAATACTACCGGTCCGCCACGGGTAGCCTTCTGTATCTCAGCAGGGGCTCAAGACCGGACATAACACACTCGGTGATGGTGCTCGCGAAGAGTATGGCGAAGCCAGGTCCCAGAGCGATGACAAAGCTGAAGCGGGTACTCCGGTATCTAAAAGGAACGACCTCTATCGGAATCACATACACCGAAGACGCCGACGGCGGAGATAAACTCACGGCGTACGTGGACTCTGATTTTGCAGGTGACCAAGACAAAGGCTACTCCACAACCGGTGCCGTTCTCTATCTCGCAGGTGCCCCAGTGGACTGGATATCCAAGAAGCAAACGGTGCTGGCCATCTCAACGTTCGAGGCTGAAGCCGTTGCCCTGTCCAAGGCGTGCACTATTGTCATCCACTTTCGTAATTTGCTGAAGTCGCTGAACATGAAGCAGGAGCAGCCCACGGTAGTGTTTGAGGACAACGCAGGCACTATAGCGTTTGCTAAGGGCGCCAAACTCACGCCCCGTACTAAACATATCGACCTCAAGTATCACCACGTTTGGTACTTAGAGGAGAAGAAAATCGTCGACGTCAAGTACACCGAGACTAACTTGCAGAAGGCTGACATCCTGACTAAAAGCCAGGGAGCTGTGAAGTTCCTCCAGAACCGCCTTCTCTTGCTTGGAGTGTAAACACATCCCCATTACCGAAATCAGACATTATGTCTCAAGGGTTGGATGGTGCATGGAATATTATTGTAGAATAACAAACGTTGGAAAGTAGAAGAACAGTTCGATGCAATCAATGAGTACATATTTAGGAGTTGAGTTCGAGAGCATGCACTCACGTCGATAGCACATTTGTCGAGAGGACACTGGTATTGTTTTGAGAGGACATTGTGGTTGAGAGAATTTCGTGTCTCATGTATCAGAGCTGGAATGAATGACGTAGTTCTTGAGAGGACATGTTGGGAGAATTGTGTGCAAGAATTGACTCTATTCTACTGCAGGGTTTCGTGCAGTATGGTCAAGGCGTGTATCCAAGTCTGTTAACCGACAGGTGAAGACAGCTTGGACGCCGATGTGTGAAATAATGATCACTCTGTGTTTCTCTACCCGAGCCTCTTGCGTCACATACGCCAACCACAACGTACAAGAGCGGTGAGGTCCCGCTAGTGCGCCCAACAGCTACCACATCGGAACTGAACACGCACGTGCTTCAGGCTGACTCTTATGGCAACCAAAAGTTGGCCCGACGGATTTTTTGGACTGGCATGCCCCCACCCCCCGGATTTGCCACGGATTCGACCACGAGACAGACCTCTCACCACATCACCACACAGTTCTCCCTCCATGATGTTCGGATCGTCACCAAACCTCGAAGGCTGTACGCACCACACCTGTGGGCGTCTTTGAGGCTAGTGGTTACTGCTGTGGGGTCTGTGTGTGCTGAGAAATGTCAATCCATGTGAGCAAAAGAAAGTAGGAATCAGATTAACCGGAGGGAGGCTCGTATTGTGGAAGGGTGTGGAACATTGTTGACGATTTTCCGATTTCTTCGATTTAACACATCAGGCACCACACCCACGCACACACAGCAGTCCGCGCGGCCAAAGAGAAGGCCAGCGCCCGGCGAAAAGGCCCTGGAGTTGGCGCGGTACCAACAAGAGGGGGGCTGCACGGTCAGAAAGCCAAGTTGGGCTTGTTTGCGCGGCTTTAGGTCAGCAACACCCGCCGCCCGTAACACACACGTGGAGGCAAGGAGGAAGAGGAGAGCGAGTGCCGGAACCGCGGAGATAGCGACAGCCGATGGCGTAGAGGTGGTGGCAGCACCGCAGCAAAGAGGAGCAGACAGACAGGAGGAAGAGCACGCAGTGGCCTCCTGGTGTAAACGGGCGCGTCGTCCCCGCGCAAGATTATTCTCTGCTGGTTCTCTGCAAGCATGGAGAGAGAGTTTGACTTGATGTGCCTCCGTCCCAGTAATGTCTCTCCCGAACGCTTGAACTGCGACACTGCAATTCGTGCAGAGGCTGCCGGCCAGTACAGTTACTCCCTCCCTGTCTACGTTCTGGTGCGATTTCGTGTGGTGGGGCTGAGGGGGGCGGCACGAACACGCACACGCATTGCATTCACCCACACTCAACAGCAGAGCAGTGAGAGAGAGAGCGGCGTCAGCAAGGTGCAGCTGTCACGCAGCGCACCACACTGACCACCTGCAGTCAGGGGACGTTCGTTGGGTGGGAGAGGGGAACTGTTGCCCCTCAGCCAATCATATCAAGCCGCTTGTATCTAAAAATATTTGCCTGCACGAGGTTTCATCCGTACTGATGGTCCAACTGACTTGGATGCCTTCCGTGGTTACAGACCAGTCTACCCGTAAAAGGGTTACACCGTCCTCGACACCAAAGAAATCAAAAATAAAATGGGGTTGATTTGTACTCGCCGTCGGAGGTGGCACCGGCCGAGCCAATCCTAACACGCCCATCCAAAAAAAATCATCCGTGGGTGGTTGATTCAAGATCGCTACACCGGCACAACTTAACATACGGATAAATACAAGCACAAACAAGAAACCGATGAAAAGAATGTCACATCGGGGGGCATTGAGAGAGGGGAATTTAGCGATACGAAGTTGTGTAGAGGGACATGAAAACAATTTTCAACTTATTTATGTGATATTTCACAGGCGACGCAGTCTATACAGTAGAACTACCACAAACAGCTTGCCGGCTGGGTCTTCCAAATAGTCCACATATTGTTGGGACATCTCCCTCTCTCGATTAGGGAGGCATGATCTAGAGAGAATGAACAGCACGCTTTTTCAATGGTATACAACAAACCTACTTCCTGTACGCCTCGTGTGATAAAATGAAAAAAAATCTGTACGCCGGTACACAAGCTAAAACCTAGGTGCTTAAATAACAAAAATGGAAGTCAGTCGTGTTACCGGCCGACGTCAGCTCCCCCAAGAAAACGAATTGTGAGAGGAGGCCTCAACCTCGTGGCTCCTACGGGTACGCCTCATGTGAGGAAAACTCTGCACGTTGATATCAAGCTAGCACCTACATAAAAATGGAGTCAGTCACGCTCAACAGCTGATATCGGCTCCCCAAGAAAACTCCTTCCAAAGACGTCTCTACCTCGTATCCCAGGGCCCAAACTGCACACGCTGTTGCGCTACCCTATCATACAATACGTCCCACTTTTTCAATCACTACTGTGTGCAGTTAGTTTACTTGTTGTCCTCAGGGACGAAGCACCGCTCCTTCCATTGTGATACTCAAAGAATATAACTCTCGTGAGCAGGGAAGTGGGGGCCGCGGGCGTGGTACACGCATGAACCCGGAAGAGCGACGAAGGCAAAGTTTTGCGAGGGGCGCGCGTGTGAAAAAATCAAAAAATGAAACTTGAGCTGAACACTCTTCCTCGGGCAGCATTGCCAACACTGGTGGCCAGAGGGGCAGGTTGGGCACGAACTACAACCTGGGGGGGGGGAGGTTGGGAGGCGGAGTTGGACCTTGGATCCATTTTTTCTTCGGGCTTGCAGCCCGCCGTGTTGATTGCAACAACGCCACTATCCAACATGCGGGATAGCTTGCACACTTTGAGCTGCAACCTCCCTACAATCCCCCCCCCTCCCCCCCAGGTTGTAGTTGGTGCCCCAACCTACGCACAACCTGCGTCTGGCCACCTGTGATGGTCTCGTTCGACTTCAGAAAGCACTGTGAACAAGCTTGGACGAACAGCCCGCAGTTCGAGCAACAACGCTAGTTTTCTCCTCGCCTCGTACAGCTTACGCGTATAAAACATATTTGGCCTGCCGTGAAACAGGCGGGCTCCCCAAAACCTTGGCGTGCGGTACACATCGCAAGGCTGTTCCTTCGCGGCCTTGAGCTGACGCGAAGGCTTCAGCCGGAAAAATAATGGTATGGAAAAGGGGTCCCGTAACTTCTTACAAGGGAGGGGGGGGCGTTAGACGGCTTTCTTGGCCATGGGCGCGACCTATTCGGCGCCCTCCTCTTACTCCAAGATGGCCTTCGTGACGGGCAGCTCTTCCTCCATGGCCTCGTTGGGGATGATTTGGTTGAGGATGATGGCGGCCGCGCACCCCATGCTGTACCCGGTGCTCAGCACCAGGATCACGCCGTCGCGGAAGGACTGGCGCGGTGTCATGTTGTTGTTTGTTGGTGACGGTGCGGGGCGGGGAGGGACGGCGGGGCATCGATGAGCGGCAAAGGGGGGGGGGCAAGGGGGAGGGCGTAAGTAGTACTGGCACGGAGTGCGGCCCGGTGACTCCCTCGTGTTGTGGTCTAAGCGTATACTGGTTGAGTGGGCGGTAGGCAATGACGGAGGGCGTTCCATGCAGCTTGATCCCTGACTCGGCGACTGCTCGTCGTCTTCCCTCTAACCCCTGTGGTCTTTCTCTGAAGGTGCATACCCTTGGCGACGTTAACGCAACCCGTGCTTCTCAATACTAGTATCTTCTCCCCCCCTCGCTCGGCTTTCTTGTGGCTTTACCGCTCGGTACCTTAACCCTTTTCATTTCCACATCCTTTTCTCATAGACTGCCGTGGACCACGGCTGCTTCCCAATTGATTTGTTTAACTGCAGTTTGTTGGTTGTCTTTGTACGGTGGCGTCACGAACGGGGATAGAAATGCACCACAGCTGTGTGCTGCTCAAAACTCCAAGAAAAAAATCTCGGTACGACGCTCCACATTTTTTTTCTCACCCGGAGTCCCTCCCCGCAGTCGGAACACGGCCAGAGGTTGTTGGTGGCCCAGGCCGGGGCGATCGTCACGCCCAGCCCGAGACCCATGGAGCAGGCCACGATGAAGCGGCTACGGCGGGAGTCCCCCGTGGAGGAGAGGATCTTGATCCCCGATACCGCGACGTTGGCGAAGAGGAAGGTCGTCATGCCGCCCAGCACGCAGTCCGGGATGGACGTGAAGAACGCCGCGATCTGCGATGGTGGCACACAAGATGTTCATTGGTTTTGCCCATCAGCCAAGTGGTATGTTTGAGTTGGGTCTTCGACCCAGGCACCATCCATGGTGTCGTCCATCGACACCGAAAAGTGAAACAGGGGGTCAATCGATGAACAAAGGGGGGGGTCAAGACGGAGGGCCGGGATGGCTTTATGGGTGTTCAAGGGAGCGTAGAGGGAGAAGGGTAGGGTCAAAGGTTCGGATAGGTGGCGGGAGGCAGCGAGTCAGACAATGGGGAGGCATTTACATGAGCGTTTAGGAGGTCGAAGTTTTGGGCGGGGAATACCAATCTGTCTGCCTTTGAACACAAGAACGTCACGTATGTGCGTGCGCCGGGAAGGGAGGAGATGACAGAAAATATATATCGGGATCACACACAACGCTCCAGGGGCTGATGTCGAACGACACGCTACTTACTCCAACTTCAGGAGTACCGTAAAAGTGCGTGTCATGGCACCGGGGTGCGATCGTCTTTTAAATCATTCCTTTCGTGACTTTTTATCGCACCCCGGTGTCATTACACTGAGGGGTGCCATATCACCGATGCCGGTGCGAAAATTGAATCTAAAGAAGTCGTCCTAGATGTCCAACGCAGCCCCGGTGCGATAACGTCGATGGGTGACATACGGAAAAATCACAGCGTCATTTGACGGTGATTGTGGGCCTCTTTTAAGCGCACAGCCTCGACAGAACGATATACGTACATGAACGGAATGGCGCCCCAATTGATACCCACGGTTGCACCGTCACAGCCGCGCGTTACATACAGTTCAACAGAAGCACGCAAATTTACGTCCTAAGCAGATCCTATGTCGTTGACATCGCACCGGGTGCGTTAACATGGACACCGGTGCGAAATGCAACTAAATCATGCCGTTCTCTACCCTTCTTTGCGCACCCCGGTGCCATAACACCGATGGGTGCGAAATCTACGATGGGTGCCATACCACGCACTTTTTCGGTATTGGCTCGCAAGGCGGCATCGAGACAGATCTCGACCCTTGCTAAACGACCTCTTGTCAGGCAATGGTTGTTGCCACAATCAGCCCAGCACACCAACCCCGCCGGTCTCAGCTCCTACTGGTGTTGTCCAGCGGAGGCCGCCCGCCCGTGACTTCCCCTCTTTCGCCTTCACACAATATCACAACCATGCAATTCCGGGTGCTCAACAAAGATTTGTTTTTTCGCAAACGGCAGGCAAGGCAGAACACGGCACTCCATTGTACCGTACCTTGGCGAGGATACCGAAGACGATCAGCCAGCAGGCGCAGGCAAGACCGGCCCGGCGGGAAGCGCACCGCGTGAGGGCGATAACCCCGTTGTTCTGGGAGAAGGTGGTGTTGGGCATGCTGGTGGCGAGGGCGGCGAGGAAGCTGGAGATTCCGTCGCCAAGAAGACCCCCGCGGATCCTCTGGTGAAGATATTGTCGTTACGTACGAAGGGCGGAGGAGGAGAGGAGAGGGTCGGGGAAGGGAGTCGGTGCGTGCGGTTACGATCGCGTTGGCTGCTTTTGTCTGTGTTTGCAAAAGAAAAACTCGGAAAGACAAAACGACGACGACAAGAACACGAGACACGCTAAACACGGTTGGCCAATCAGCGTTGACGTTGGATTGTACAAGCACCGGCGGTTGCCGCCCGGAGTTGGAGTGGAAAACGGTGGGTGGTGCACTGCAGGTCGCACAAGGAAGCGCCCAAGAAGGGTACTGACATCATGTTGTTGGGTTGGGTCTCATGCAGCTCATCATTCCCGAGCTTTTGCTGGACAGGGCAGAAATCTAGCCATGGCACATCATGCTATGATTTCGGCTGTGAGTAAGAGGATGGCGCACCGCTTTCGCACAGCATTGATCACTGGTGGTGCTGTTTCACCTAACCTGGAAGTGCTCCTCGGAGTCGACGTTGAGCCTGGACACCTCAGCCGTGGTGGTGACGTCACCGATCGTCTCGACGGTCGTCACGATGAAGGCAAGTATGGTGGGAAGGATGAGGGGCGGGTACACCGACAGCGGGTACGTGAACACCCACAGGAACGTGATGCTGTCGGCTGGAAGAAGAGGGATGTGGGGGGACAACATTTTGATGCGCGCGAGAAGGGAGTGTTTGTGCATTTAAGTGGGAGCAGCACGAAGGAGGGGGAAAGGCCCTCGACACGATACCCTGCGCGAAGTTGGCGGCCAGTACTACTTTTTTATGTATATTTCTTAAGACCCTACGAATCCATCTCCGTCTATAGAAAAGAGTCTAAGATAGATTAGCAACGAATCCATAGCGTCAGCGAACGCTCTGTACTTCCATGATTTCCCGAGCAGCATACCGCGATATCTCCCCCATGGGTATTTGTGTTGTGGAACGGCGAGCGGCGAACGAGTTCCACCGCACACCCCACCCCCCGACGTCATCACATCTACTGTACGCCTTGTTCACGAGAAAAAATTCCATGATGTGCGAGGTTTTGTCCCCACGCATGCACACACCGGCGTCGATCTTGTCGCTGACGACGTAGTCGTTGCCGTTGTTTTCAGAGACGGCGGCCACGAAGTAGCCGAAGAGAAGGGCCACGACCACGTTGACGCTCCGCATGAAGGGAGAACCAAACACTTCGAGGAGAACCTTTGTTCCGACGGCGGCAGCGGCGGAAGGGGTGGAGGGGGGTGGGGGGGGGGGGGGGGCGAGGAAGGAAAAAAGAACGAAAGAAACGCGCTTAGTTGGCTGTAAGCTGGTCGCACATGCAACAACAGACGCACGACTCATCTCGACAGCAGTAGCGGCGGTAACATACGCGGGGCGCATGCCCCCAACTGCTCCTCTACCTAGGTAGCATCTTCACGGCCGTTCTACACGGATTCACAAGCACAGCCAGCCGCGCCAGGCGTTGAAAGCCAGTAGGAAGCACAATCAAGGTCGACGTCTTGCCTTGGGGCGCGGTCTTTTGTGATGGATTGTACGTACCAGCATGGCGAACACGGAGAACCCGAGGCCGATGTACACGGCGGAGCCGAAGGGCAGGAGCACCTCGCCGTTTCCTCTGCGACAGGAGCAGATTTGGCGAGCAGAACAGAATGTTTGCAGACGAGGGCGACACCCACCCACAAACACAGCCAAGGTAACCACGCGTCCAGTTTTTTCTGTTACTGCAATATATACGGTATCTCTCTTTAATCCGGAGAGTATCATATAGCCTTCCCCATGACACCCCCTCCCCCCCCCCCCCCCCCCCCCCCCCCCCCCCCCCCCCCCCCCCCCCCCCCNNNNAAACAAGCCAATTCACTTCGTGAACTAGGCAACCAGGTTACCGTTTTTTTTTTACTTCCGTTTGTTTTTTTGCGGTAACCATAATGGTGGTCGAGTAGATCATGTTGTGCGGGGTGGAGAACCCTCACTCCGCGCAAGGGGGATGATCGCACCACGTTGTGTTAAAATGGTCAAGCACCCTCGAGGCAGTTACACAGTGCTTACAACTGTCTCTGGAAGTGAAAGCACCAGAAAATAAATTAATTCATACGCAGCTGTCATCCGTACGCAAGGAAGTAAGCACAAGATGCCGAACACCCTTAGCAGGATGCAGCGCACCCTTCATGCGACTCGCCGAATATCTCACGGCGCTTCGCGCTTGGTGATGTGAGAGCCTGGTCCGGTGAGAACCCGGCGTGCTCCGTCCCGGCTTTGTAGGGATGCGAGGTCAATGGTCTAACGACTACGGCATGCACGACTATGAGCACACCCCCCGTGACACCCCCTAACGGGGTCCCAGATCATGGCATTTGGAAGATTTTTGTGCAACCGCGCTGAGCCTGACGTCTGTTCATTGGTCGGCCGGTTTGCGTGGTCGATGCCAATGATGAAGCCACACACACACACACACCGCACGACAGCCGGTGGTGCCAATCGTCGGAACAGGAGCCAGAAAGGTGAACCGAATGAATGCGCGTGTGGGTGAGGAGAAACAACGGATGCTCCTCGATGGCTCGGCTGTCTACGGTTGGTTTAGTTAGCGCCGCGCCACAGATTCTTCCACACGTGTCGTCAAGTTCCACGCATGTGGGCCGCTCACCCGCACAGGATGTCGCTCGCGTAGTTATCAGCACAGAAGGCACCGCCGCCCCAGTACTTGAAACCCGTACCCACGAGGGCCGCGCCGATGAGGAACACGGTGACACCGGTCACGATGGGGGGGAAGACCTTGCGTAGGGCCTGTAAATGTATGGTGATAAATGTTGTGTAACCAAGCTAGATACTTGGTGCCCCAAGGAACTTGTAAAGGGAGCGAACGGGGATTTCCGAACACCAAAATCAAGATCGTTTCGCGAGCTTCCAGCGTTAGAGACGCGCCGTGTCAAAATGGAGTGGAGGGCAAAGCACATGTGGACGCTGCGGCTGGCTGCGCTGAATGTCCCGGGGTGTACTGCCAAGCAATACAGGAGCAGCGCACACAAGCTCTCCTACGTTGGGCTTGATGAAGGCGAGGATGATCTCCACCCAGGAGCAGACGAGGAACGTTCCGAGCACCGCGCCGTAGGCCTTTACGCCGTCAAATTCGTCGTTGCCGTCAAAGAACTCAGACTTTCCCTTCATCTGCGAAGAACGAAGGAAAGAACAAAATATACAACAGTTGGTACACAACACTCTGCGTATGTCACTGGCATCACCCACTCATCACCTGGATGCACTAGGTACAACACAAGCTGCGACAGGCAAAGAGAGAGGCAGGCATATGAACAACACACCCAACACGTTGTGGGTAAAAATAAGACGGTTTTCTTGCGCCTGCGCCAGACGTATCGGTCGATCCGGGGGCCAAGACGAGAGTGCATGCATTCTTCGTCCATCCATGCGCATTGTAGTCACACCCGACAAAACACAACATAAAATATTCCAACAACATCGTCCAAAGACTTGAGCGAGAGCGAGAGACAGAGAGAGAGAGAGCCCACGCTTCCGCATTGCCCTGCTGTGGACTCCTCTAGGCCCTTGTGTTTTTTTCTTCGGTTGCCTTGCCTGGGATATGGCATCGCGCGCCACCGGGAGGAACGTGAAAGAGGTCCCCATCACGGAAACGAGGCCCGTGCCGATGACGATGTTGGTCATGGGGATCTTGACCTGCATCACTTGGATGATGGAAGTGATTCCCGAGACGATCAGGGCGGCGGAGATGAGGTACTGAATCTGCTCCGCTGGACTGCATTTTCCCAGAGCAGCACAAGTTGTTTCACGAGCATCGGAGGGGGGTCCGGGGGGGGGGAAGGGGGGGCGTGCTCAAGTGTTGCATGTATTAGACCATTGACCACGCGTCCTCGAGAGGACGGAGCATGTGTTCCATGCAGGACCGATCACCGATGGCCAATCATCCCTTCCTACTTTGCCACCGGAGGAGGAATGGACGACAAAGTTTTGAATTGTACGATGATGGTCGATGACTATGCCTCGCCGTCCAGGCCGTCGGCGAGGAGAGACACGGTACTGTACCACAAACTACCGGATGTTTCTCATTGCATCGTTGCCGGATAAAGTAACATCAGACCGTTGCCGTTGAGCACAAACACCTAGACTAGGAGGGCCAGGCATGATGCAAACGTTTGCGCTCACAGGTTCGCGTCGAAAGTACCGGCGACAAGCAAGGGGACCGTGATCACGCCTCCCACCATGGCCAGCGCGTGCTTGAAAGATTTTTTCGCGGCAAGAACGCACAAAACGGGGGAAATTCATCCCAACGGGAACACGAGCGAGGGAGAGACGGGGGAGAGAGAAGATATTAGGTTCTCGCGTTGCTTGCGATTGGACGGAATTAGTTGGCATCTCGTCAATCTGATCAGGAGGATGCGAGACTTGACATGTTGGAGGTATATCCTCCGAAGAAAGACGATCGAAACAAACCACGGTTTTGTTGTTGCTGCTGTTGCTTTTGTTGTTACCTTTATTCCAGTAACTATTCCGTTCTCCCCAAGTACGTTCTAAGTTCCGTACTGGTCCAACTGACGCGGACGCACCGTCCGCGGTCGCAGGGCACGCCAACTACCCAACAAAGGGTACACATTTCTGGAACTAAACACACGGGAAACAAAAAAAAGACCTAGACAAACCTTCCGAATGGGATGGGAAAAATAGCAGATCCAAGACAGATCACGAAATAAATCGGGAGGCGAGAGAACCCGGCAAAAAAGAGTAGAAAAGCAGGAATGCCCCACCCAAACCAAAAGAGTATGAGGGAGGGGGGCGGAGTGTATTCGTCGTTGGGGGTGCACGGGCCGAGCCATTCCTGACAAAAAAAAACACAACAAAACACGTTTGTGTGTACCTTCTGAAAATAGTCTAACTGGTAGATGGTTAACCAACACCAATACAGCAGTCGTGCACCGGTTATTAGCGGTTTCCTTTTTAGCAGGATGAGCTAAATAGTTGTCCCAAAAAATCGTGGCACGGCTCCATCCCAATGTAGTATCCGCTAAAAAGACGTTTCAGCCACCACTACAGCGGTTTTCAATTCTAACTTTGTGGAGCGCGCGCTTGCGCTTGCACACACTCGCAAAACATACAGCGAAAGGTGTATTCACACCATGCGGTGCGCGGATGAATGCAGAGTTGTGCTAGCTTCCAGATGCGGCACTGGGTCGGCGCACACATGATGGTTGTTGTGGCCGCATGCGTCAGGCATAGCGTGGGTGGGGAGGTGAAGGATCCGGATGGCAAAGAGATGCACCGCGTTTGCCACTCATGTGCAACCGAGACGGCGCAGGCCTCCCCACGCGTCTCGAATCCACCCAAGCGCACAAACAGGTGGCAGATTTCTATGTAGCACCAGGCACGTGCAAGAAACCAACTCGCGCTGTACAGCTGCACGCGGGAAACGAACCAAAATATGCATACATGCATACCTACGTGTACGTCTGACAGACGTGTAGAAAACATAAATGTTGTTTTTCATAATCTACACNATCTCCCAATTTGATGATCGTACACTCCCAAGATCCAACAGTCATCGTGCCAGCAGCTTGATGACTCAAACAAAACAGCAATGCATACACTGCCATAGCTCCACACATACCCTCGTCCGAACCTAGCGAGCCACTAGGAAGTCACGAGGGAGCCAAGTCCTGCTCGCAGGTTCTCTTGGCTTTTTCCTTCAGGTGAACACGTCCAGGAATCCAGTATCCGCAGCCGCCGCAGTAGTACTGTACTGTGTGTAGTAGTAGCAGGAAATCCAGGTTGTACGCCGGTTGTCCAAACAAAAGATTTGTGATTCCGTGAGAGAAGGAGATACCACCGCCGTCGAAGGGTCGAGGGCACTGTCTGCCAGATGTAGGCTGTGAGATAGACGGTGCCAGTTATGTGTTCTTAGCCTGCCCGCCCGTGAGGGTCGTGACGAGGCCGCCATTGTGTGTGTGTTTGTGTGTGTGTGTATTCCTTGTCCCTCTTCAACCAACTGCCACCACAAGGCATACGTAGTCTATCTCTCGCGCGGCTCGTGCTGCTGCTGCTGCGGCGGGCTGCTGCTGCTGCTGCCGCCTGCTTGGGCGTTTTGTTTGCATTTTTTCGTTTCGCATGGCTTCTCCCTTCTTCCCCTCGCTCCTCGACAAGCTTTTGCTTAGACATGGGTTGTAGTGAAGGGGGGGGTC